TCAAAACTGTGGTGTGGGTTCTTTTGCTTTGGTGAGATCTGTATCCAAAAAGAATGACTGTTGTTTTCCTGGAAGTTGGAGGCAAGAGAAAGTGAGCTTTTTTGTATACTTGAATACAAGTATTTGAATTCTCCTAGGTTGATAATTCCAGTCAACAAATAAAGTTACACTCCATATCATATTCTCTTATAACTTGTTTAGGGAAACTGTCTTCAACAAAAAGAAAAATAATGATGACTACTAGCTCACTTTAAATATTTCCCTGGTGTCACTTTCAGCATCCAGTTGAAATCACCTTTCCTTTAGCCACACTTCAGATTCCCATATGCATAATGTTTTTTGCATGAGATAAAATCAGCGCATAAAATTGAATATCCTCATCAGCCCAGGAAGCACATGGAGCTACCATGTGAGAGATCAGTATGCAAAGAATAATCAGAGCCAAATATTTTATCAGAACGTTCAATTATTTTAAATGAATGATGAAATATCATGGACACCTTAGCTCAGCTGTATATGCAGCCATTGAAATGGAGCTGATGTCATGAGAGGACTCCACATTTCACAAAAAGCTGTGCCTAGGAAAATGAATATCTTGAAACTAGTTAGGGTGATGGGTAGACCTTGACTAGTGTCATGATTCTTCAAGTTGGTGCTGTCTCAAAACTGGTAGTCATTCAGATTCTTGGTACTTGGTATGTGTAACCTTGCTGACAAGGTCAGATGTGAAATGAGCAACTGTTTCTCCTCTTCTGCATCTTCTTGAGGATGATGCTGTGAATGTAAATGCCTGGTTTGGTGAGGTTGATGATTATGCACATAGCAGAGGTGGCAGCTGACTGAGGAGTGCAGAGTTCATTGCAGCTGGGCAGGAACAGGGATCACTTTCTTTGAAACAGGTCCACATTCACTAGCAACATCTGGTTGAGGCCATCAAAGTCAACAGTCAAATACCTTTGATTCAGCCACCTCATAACAAATGGACTTTTGAATCTCAGGGAAAATTCAGTGTTCTTATGAGAAACAGGTGGCACACAGTATAATGTTATTAAAGTGCATGTCCCAAACTCCCCCAGAAGTAATACTTCATGAAATTGCTAACAGCTCATTTTGTTTGTCCTGAAGATGTGAGTTTGTCAGAAGATTTCAATTGCATAATTCAGTTAAATCCAAATAGACAAACAGGGTCCTATGGGGTATAATTTCATACCATTGGTGATTACAGCAACATAAATCAGATTTGTCTGGTGCCTAGAGAATATTAAGTCTTCAAAGTTTGTATTTTAGCTGTTTGTTTTGGATTTTGAAAAATGCATGCAGACTAATAACTAAAAATACAGAACCAGACAAGACTGTTGGTCTTAGCTGTGATGAAAGAGATGAATCCTCAGCTACTCTCATTTGTTTTAGCTCCCTAAAACTGAGTGAAGGTTTGCTATTTTATAATGCTATCCAAAATAACAGAGGATTTTATGAACAAAGCTATTGAGAGCTTCCTGCTTTGGAGAGAATTTCCAGAATTCATTTTTTTCCTCTTCTGTCACACACTTCCACTTCTCAAAGTGGTGTTCATGCTAGATCAGATGAGTCAGTTTTTTTTCTTTTAACCTTAATGGAAAAAAAAAAAAAGAGTTTTTCTCCCTATGCTTTAAGGAAATTAGAATTTTGTTATAGTGTAAACTCTCAAACAAATGAATTATGCTTTAAAACTTATGCTTAAAGCTTCTGTTATTTCTTTTATTCTCATTAATAATTTTTGTGTAGAGTTTTTTTTCTCTCCTACTGCCTTAATTTTTAAATTACAAAAATTTATAAAATATATTTTTCTCTATTTTCACCTGATTTCTGCAATCTCTGCATTTTCACCTGATTGTAGGAAAATTACTTTCTATTTAAAATTACATTTTTTGTCTCTAAAACTAATCTCTCTATTAAAGAATGCTTTGTCTGCCTCAAGTCAAATGAATATAGCCTACAGAGTGCAAAAAAACCAACAACAACAACAAAGCAGATTGCAATCTAAAATTAGTGATAGAAAGTTCAGGAAATAAAAAAATAATAATAATAAATAAATAAAAAGTTGGAAAAGAAGATAATCTTAACTGTGACTTGGTTTTACCCTGATGTCTTGAAGCTTTTTAACATGAATCTTGCACTATCACTGTGGCATGATACATGAGCATATAAGCAGCTGTTTTGCTCCTCACAGGTTAGGAAAGCAAGTAGCAGAGTTAAGCAGTGTAATACTATTTGGTGTAGTTCAGGAAAGATATTTTCAGTTTTCCCTATGCAAGAGGATGTTAGCATAGCGTTGGAAGAAGGATTTTCCCTATAGCTAGCAGATTGTTATGTAGGTTGGAAGGTTTGGCTTTGAATCCCTGTTTAGCCTTGGTATCTATTCATAGCCTAGGGACATCTTTTCATTTTCTCATCTGGAAGAGGAGAGTGTTTGTTTTCTCTCCCTCTCAAGGTATTAGGGGAAAAAAAATCCAAATCCAATAACAGCAAATAGTTAATGACTATTAAGTTCTTGGTTATTACACAAAAGTAGAGAGAAGAGGAAGGAAGAATGGAATTAATTACTGATGAACAAGGGTCAAAGGTGAGAGATCAATGGGAGTTTCATAGTCCTTAACAACCTTGTCTCACTTAAAATAGAGATGCAATATCACTATTTGGCCCTGAAATGAAAATATACATCAAAATTGGGATACACTTTTTCTCTAGTTGTGGTTAAAAGAAGAGTGGCAGAGAACATTATCTAATTTCAGTCTAATAATAAGAATTGTCATCAGATGGCACCGCTTGCCCAAAGAAAATAAAATGCCCTCTCTGAAGGGACTAAACGCACAAGTCTGTCAAAAGAAGTCCTAGGAGAGAGAGTTTTTATAGCAACAAAGTATGATGCTGGCTTTAAAAAAATATCCATGCAAGCACTATAATTGCTAAATGGGGAAAAAATAATCCCAACTGTCATATCTGGTACTCGACAACAACCTCCCCTCCAAATATTTTTCTCTTTTTCTGGTCCACCTAAATAAACTTACTCTGAAATGATGCTTAGAAAAATGTCTGGGGAAAAAACAAACAAACAACATCAAAAACAAACTAAAAAAGTTCAGTGAAATGGCAGTCGTCAAGGGGGATGCTACTGCAGCCCTGATAAAGCTTCTGTAGGCTGTGACAAATTCAATTTGGGTGCAGCTGCTATAGCCAGTAACTTCAGAGAGGTGGTAACTGTTGCTGAAAGCTTTGAGCAGGGAATCTAGACAGGGTAAGGCTGGGAGATGCAAAAGATTGAAGACAAGATTAACTGTGTTGATTGCAGCCATCTGAATGTCATTTTGCCTGGAAAGTTTGGATATTGCAGATGCCTGCTCTGAAAGCACAGAGATGTTTGCTCCATTTTTTGGATTGCTCCCTGTTTTTAATTAAAAGATATTTTACTATTAGATGATCTGAACTTTATTAACAAGTTAAATAGTTTTATATCAACACTTATCTGAGACAGAAGAAACCACCTTGCTATGAGTGGAAGAACATTGGCCTGTGCGATAGATTGACAGGAACTTATTGTGGTTACGTTAATTTATATTTCTGCTACAATTAGGAGAGCAGATCTAGAAATGGATTTTGGAAGTGAAGGGCACTACTTTGGCAAGTAGTGCAAATGCTCTTGATTAGCTGACTTCAAAGCACTTTAGAAAGGTCACCGTTAAAGTTCTTGAAAGTTTTTCACTCTAAAAGAGTATCTTGAAATGACAGATCAGAGACCAGAAAACAGGTCCAGTTTGGAAGCATCACATGTTCCTTGCTGGGAGGGGGATTGGCAGTGTGTGTCAAGACAGGGAAGGAAGAGAAATAGGATGAATCTGCAAGAAAAGTGTAAGATCGACTGCCTGTCAATATTTCTGTGTGAGAAATTTGAAGTTAAATAAAGCAAAGGACGAACAGAACCTGAGTAATTCTGCACTCTATTGTCCTCTAAGAATTATCTGCTGGTATCATTTAGGGAGAGCAGCTGCTTGCTGGATTAAAAACAACGTTTGTATATCATTCCACAACGACATGTCAAAGTATAATACCCATACCTGGCTTTTTTTTTTGTGCTGACCTTTCTCAGTCTGGTTTGGTATTTATCACAAAGTTTTTTTTTTCTAAATGACTGCTGTATTTGGAAATTGTAGAACAACATGAAAAGAAGGTGTCATGCTGTTTGCAGGAGGAGGACAGGAGAAAGGTGAGAGACAGAAGCTTCCATGGTACAAGTTACTTATGCTGTTCAGGTTTAATCACTCCTGCAAGATAAATCTGAATATGTTCAAACTCCACTTTTGTGCCAGATTGAGTAACTGGCGGGGGGCAAAACCGAGTCAATTAGAAGTCATTGCAAATGCGTTGGCCCATGTCGTTGTTGGGTGATTGCAGCGTTCAGAGGGTTTGCTGTTCATGCTCTAGATCTTAGCTCATAAAATTACTGGCGGTCTGAAGCTAAACATTGCAGTATAGAAACTGATCTTTTCTTTCCGAAGAAGGCTGCTGGTGACTGCAGAGATTGATGTTACAGTATGATATGAAGGAAGGCTTTTTGCACCTCTGATGGCAGAGCCAGGCTAGCATTTCAAACTTTTGTGTTCAGCTAGCCATTGTGGCTACCACAAGTTTAAGAAAGTAGAATGTATCTTTCCCCTTGCTGCATGTTTTTATTACCTGATAGTGTCATGAGGAGCTAGACTGTAAATTTTCACTCATGACAGGTAAGTGGACGTACCTACATAGTGATCTCTAAGGCAGCACCTGCTGAGGTCCGTGTTGTGCTCTTCAGCATTACTTCTGTCAGAAGGGTCACTGGAGATTTTTAAGCTGTCCCAGAAATGAGCTTTGATCCTTGAATCCAAATTGTTATGTCAAGTGTGATACAGGAGTAGTACGGAATTCTTTAATTTCTGCCTTGTTTTTGTGTTTTACTGTGATTCATGACTCTCTGCTTTTGTCCACAGTTGTTCAGTTCAGTGGAGTTTGGCAGAAGATGGCAGCTTCTTCATGAGGGAGTTGCACCAAACAGGTTCTACTGGTAAGAGCAAAGCCCTTTTTCTTCTTTCCCAGGTACAGTTTCCCCAAAATTACAGAGTTGTTGAAATTGCAATGTGGCAACCTCAACACAATGTGGCTGAATGTAGCCTACGTTACTGTCCATTGCTGATTGTTGAGATTAATAACTCTGAGCTGTTGTGAGGGGCATATTTTTCCTCCTGTTCTGTGTTTATACAACCCTTGGAATTATGGGATTCTTGATCTAAGAATGATGCACAACTGAAATTTATCTTCTGTAATTTCCTGACAGCATTTTGAGTTCTAGCGCAAATCAGTATTCAGCATAAACTTGTTCCCTTTTGTGCTCAATATGTAGAAGCTATCAGTCTGGTGCTGCTCCTAAGGAGGGTAGAAGAGAGAAGTCCTGGGCCTTTGAGGACAGTAGCATTTCTGCCACAGATAGCAATGGACAGTATAGGTCAGGCATTGAGCTAACGGATGCCTACAGTAGCAATAATGATGAAAATGGTTGTTCTCCCTTTCCAAGGAGCTCAGGCTTTGAAGGTCTCTTAGAAGCTAACAAAGAAGAGAACTCAGGCTTGGTACTTAAAAGGCAATGAATAAGTTGAAAAGGCGAAGTTGTAATCACCCATCTAACTCCCTACAGCAATAACCAAAACATAAAACTGCAAGCCTGTATTTTCACCTTGCATAAAATGTGCCCTGCATAATACCCCTCAGACGGTGCTTCTGCTCTTCAAAGTAAAATAATACAGCTTGTGGAACACTATTGTGCCTCGTTTATGTATTGTAATTATCACTGTGGAGAAAAATGCTCATTTACTCCAATTATTTCACTAGCATCTGTCCTCAAAAGCATCTATAGTGAAAAACAGAACTGTGCATGTGTAGCTGTGAGTGGGTGTGCAATAGTGGGCAACATGTTAAGGGACTGGCCTTTTCCACTGGTCTCTATTTCTGTGCAGCCAAGTATCTCAGGGCAAAGTAGGCGTTAATATGTGATTACAGCATTGCCATCACTGACTCCTTATGCAGAAAGCCAAAAGAGAACAGAGAATGAAGAGTTTGATTATGTACAGTTGAAATTCAGCAACATGGCCAATGATGTTGTACGGGTTGCATAGAGCCCTACCTATTGCTCTCTCTATATATTTTTTTTTGTTAGAAAATAGTTGATTATCACACATTTTGGCTTTGAAGTATGTGGAGTTTGATCCAGAAGATTTTTGAAGTCTGGCTTTTATTCATTCTTCAGAACAAAAAATGAATAAGGAGGGGAGGTGTCCCAAATCTCAACTTTTCAAGGGAGGCATATTGTGGGGACTGTCTGTCCTGTTCCTGGTGTCTTCTTTAAATCAAATGGATTAGGTCCTGCGTACATCCCTGTTGTGCACTTTGGTAGAAAGTGATACTATATTCCAATATCTAAGGAAGGGTGAGAAGCTGCTTTAATACAGACTGCTTCCAAGGACTATCAAAACTTTTCTAAGACCAGAAAGGTGCAAAGCAAAGACTTTTGGCCCTCTTAAGGCTGCATTTACTTACACTGCTGGTTTTGGTAGGAGAGGAACATCTGGGAAACTCTGCATATTTCTAGAAGGATTTGTATGATTAGTAAAAGTAAAGATGAATTTTGGTATTTGGGCAATTGCTGAGTGATATTTTTAAGTGCCATTTG